TTTTGCAGATTGATATAGTTTTGTTGACTTTATTCGTAAGAGAAAATCATAAGCATATTCGTATTGTTTTCAACTTGTCTATATCTATTCAAATATTATAAAGAGGTAAGATTTGATTGTTCGTTTGCATTGAGTCTTCGAAATTACTGAACCGATTCGAAAAAATTACTTTTTGGAAGCTACACTATCCCCAAACGACATGTACATTAATTACTAGATTTTTTAAATTATGTGCGGACGAAATCGCTAGTAAAAGCTAGTTACAACTTATATTAAGAACGGGTTTTAGCAATACAAGTAAGATTTCAAAGATAAATCTATCTTAATATATGTGTATTGTAAAATATACGATAATTCATCAATTGATTTCCTTTCAATATACATACATAATGTTCTTAGACAAATCATTAACAATTGTTAGCAAACTAGATCAAGCAAGTGTAAGCATATAGAATCGATCTTAGTTACTTTCATGCAAACTGTCACAACAGTCGTTAATCCGCTTGGAATGAGCCGTTACTTTTATGATTAATGATTGTTTACGACATTGCTATTCAAATGACACTTTCACCAATGAAGTAATGAAATTATACTAATGATATCTCCTTTTACTCAACTAAGATATATATGTAAATAATATTTATTTAGACGACGGATAGGTCGTCGCAGCGTAGGTAGGCCTATGAACCAATGACTTTTTTTTTGACCGCGTGGAATGCTTTACGAATACTCCTCTCTCTCATCATGGGGGGCATACCCACTAAATCCCTCGGTTCCTCCAACTCCTTAGGCCGGGGCCACGAACACGCTTTCGCTTACGTCCGAGACCCCGCCTGATGAACCAATGACCTGGTCAAGATTGCGGGAGTGCACTGGATGCGGGCGGCACAGCACCGGGCATCGTGGCAATCAATGGGGGAGGCCTACGGTCAGCAGTCTATGGCCTATGGCTTGATGATGATGATGATGATAAAGGTAATGTTTCAATATTACCTAAAGTCCTACCGCACACTACAGACTTCATAGGCCGATAATTTAGCCATGATTAATATAAACATGTATTATAAGCAATTTTTAAATGATTGAGGACTGTCAGCCCTAATCCGATCAAACTAGCGACCGATAGAAACTATAGTCTGCGTCGGCTACAATGTAACCCATCGAGCCATAGATAGCCTTAGTCTCTGAAGAATTGTTAAGTGTTGGAGATCCTAATCGGCTTGTTTGTTTTTTTAATATTGTTGATTTATAGAATCGTACGATATATACTTCGATGTTTGTATAGAAGAAAATTACGGTAGTAATTAGCTTACGTAGTTTAGAAAAAGCTTATTTACTTCTATTTTGTTCCGCGTAATGGAACGGGTAACTAACAAGTACATCTACTCTTTGCTGTCCTTTGCATGTTATAAATGACATTTACTTATAGCAGGAGATCGTTGCATAGTCGTTGTCCTTTATAGAAGGGTGAAGGTTCACGGTTGACTTGGAAGTTGTCGTGAATTTATTAACGCCTAGTATTTTATTGAAGTTTTTGTACTCTATTACATTCCTATATTGCTTATTATAAGTGGAAAATACAGTCTGAAAGAACTGACTTTATAGCTGATCAGAAAATTTCATTAGCGATTTTCAATTTTGTGTCGTTGTTGCGATTGAAAATTCTCTTTCTAATCTACTTTGTGTAATTGGATAATTTCCGTAAGTAAATACACTAAACAATTTTAAAAGATGTTAGTATTGGTCTATCTTTAACAAATAAATTGGTACAATTAACGAAAAGATAGAGTTAGATGTATCAGTTTGTTTGTATCAACTTGCTGTGATCGAGATAAAATCGCTCGGGGCGTTACTTCGTACAGAAATTCGACCTACATACGTCGCGGCTTGCATAATGTAGTACGCCTCTAGCTCGATTGAATCGTATTGAAATCGAGAACTACACGTAGGAAGTTAGATCCGACTTGTATTGTTCTTTTCGGTCTCGTGTCTCGCCCTAATTACCCGATGAGCTCGACTTAATTAGGAGTTTTAGTTCACGCGTCTAGGGTTGCCTCATTAACGAAAAATGTTTATTAAATTCTATGCTCAGTGTATAGTACCAAGTATTAAATGTTGCCGTAAATATTACAAAGTAAAATAAAAGAACACTAAAAAGGTTATTTGATATTGCTTGCTACAAATAACACGAAAGTTTTTTCGTATATTTATATCATTGTGTTTGGAATATTGCTTTTATTGACATTTTGATTTATCGGTCAAATTGCGTGCATGTTTGTTACATATACGTAACTTTTTACATCGCGTGAGGTATTAAGGAATTGTTTGCATATTGCTTAGAAAAATAGTTAAGAGCAATCTTTGTACAAATTTACTTTATTCCAATGAGATAAGATTCAATTATATAAAATCGTGTTGCCCGCATAAATCTTTGTAATAGGTTTTTTCAACTAGGACTTTCGCGTATAAATTTTATCTTAATTCTTTGTTAATGTTTTTAATTATGCATTATCTTCTTTTACATAATGTTATATGTATAAGTCTAGACTTTAGTTCCTTGTGTAGGATGATGTAAGAATACTTCATTAATTTTTAATTACATCCAAAGTTGTAAATTTAAATGTCTAATAAATTGGACATGATCATCCTTCAAATTGCCCTTGTCCATACAAATGGTCGATACAGTGTGTACATACAGGGAGGGGCAAGAGCATTACTCTTCAAATGAACATACGTCATTCACGAGAGCTTTGCTTAGGTTTTGATAATTATATTATAAACAGTAAGTGGTTTTCTTTCAAAGTGACGGTGCCACCGTGTAATTACAAAGACTTCATAATAACCACTAACTAAAATGACTACTTTACATGACATCTGAGTGACAGAAGGGACACTCTGTATTTTTTATTTTATTTTTTATGGTGTTTATTTATCAAATTTACACCATAAACTACCAGTTTTAGTTAGTACTAGTAGATACTTACTACCAAGAGTATTTACCAAAACTTTCTACATGTATATCAGAATAAAACATTATTTTTGTATAAGCATCGTCATAAGCTATTAAAATTTAACTTCCTGTTCATCTATAGTCTGGTTTCGTAAACGCAAGAGAAGGTTCGGACTATACATACGAGTGTACAAGTACTTATTATAGAGTAATAAATCAAGCAATTGCCGTCTAAAAATAGTAATTTCATGTTACGAAATAGAAGATGAGCTACAAGAAGCTTGTCAGAGTTAAAGATCAGGTAACACGTAATCGGAATGTCGTAACTCGTTACCTTGTAACTTGTATTGAAGGAAAGTCGAATGCTCTTTAACATAATTGTAAACACTCAAAAGATATTGCATTCAGTTTCTCATATGTCAATACTGTCACTGGTGATGCTATCCGTGTGTTTAAAATATTGTCTGTGTGTTTTTTGAGACTATGCTTTACATCTATGAAAACTTCAATCCGTTGAACGGTTTACGAGATACGTTCTAAAAACATCTACCTTACGCATTCATGATAGTATAATAATAAGTTTTTGTTTATTACGTAATTATACGTTTAAAAATTCGAATACAGAGAGAAGAAATAATTTGCATCGATCACAAACTACATTTTACTGCTCAATCGCTTAGAATGTTGTTTTACTGTTCTTCTTCTTCCTTAGCTCTACAGCCCTTTGTGGGCCTTGGCTTGGTCAAGCAATTTTTTCCACTTCGGTCTGTTAGTGGCTACCGAATTTATTATGCCAACATTCATTGCGTCACGATTTACACCGTCTATCCATCTCAACTTTGGTCTTCCTCGATCTCGACGACCTTCAGTGTTGCTCGCCATAACGGATTTAGGCATCCTGACTTCGTTCATCCTCTGCACATAACCAGACCATTTGAGCCTGGTTAGCTTAATATGGGAAGCCACATGCGGTTCGTGGTAGAGGTTGTACAGCTCCTGATTAAAACGACTTCGCCAATGGTTTTACTGCTAGAGTGAATAAAACTAATTTTATACTGTTATTTGAAATTCTTTCAACTAGAGGAAATTAACTAATTCAGAAGTGATATCTTAGAAACTGAACTATACTTTAATTATTAATTAAACACTTCTATTTCCCCTTCAGAATAACTTCTGTATAATAATAATCTTTACAGTTAAATATTATTACAATCTCGCCTAGATCACTTTAACCATTTGCATAAGAAATAGTATGAACACTAAATCAACCGTTAGAACATATAATTATTTGTTTTCTTTAGTAATTCATTAGACACCGACAAGCAAATTTAGACTTTGTCAATAAACGATAAGATCTAATTTAGTTAAACATTGCGTGCGGAAAACTGACGCACACAAAATAAAAGAAACAGTTCAGAACGATTGCGCTACCTTTAATAAATTCCGTTGTGAAACCGGAGCAGGCGTGTTCAGATAAGGTTGTTTGGACAATTTTTGTAGCTTTTGTACGTGATTTGTTGTTTATCCGAGCTCCATAAACTGCAATGTTACGAATATGACAATGGCGTTGTGAAATGTACAGATAGCAAAGCGTTTGATAGCTGTCGAGATGTCAATTTATATTTTGTGGTCACCGTACATTTGTACAATTTAAAGATACTTATGGGAAGACATAGGGTAATTTAACTTTGATTACTGGAACTAAGGTATCAAAGTAGCAAGAAGACATCGTAATTCGCAAAAATATTAAATATATTGTGGATACATTTGCTAATGTGCTGGCTACTTTAAATCAACAGGGGAAGAGACGCATAGAAATGAGTACTTCTCCTATCTCCCACCGTGAATTTTCCTTGTTTTGATTTCTAGATTATATCTAGTTAAATAAATCTACTATTAACCGAAATGTTACCTATCCTATGTTATTGTAGACGAAAATGTGAGAGAAAGATCTAACACACTGTCTTTATTACTTTTAACTAATGTTTATAAAAATAGCTTTCAAAAGTGTCTGTTGCGTTCTTAATTTGTGCAATATTTATTGTTACAGGTAATGTGATAAGATTGCTGGAAAGGCTGATAAGGAAGCGGTTGTAGTAACACATTGTAAAGGTACGTGTTTATCTAGTCAGCGGTACGTGCCCTCTTTATTGTGTGGAAATTAATTGTTACTGAGTTACATGAGAAATGCCTTGATAATTAAAAGAAACATTGACAATGTTTATAGAATGGCTAGCTTTCGCCCGCGACTCAGATCGGCTGGATTTAAAAACAAGTAAGTAGCCTATGTGTTCTTGCAGACTAGGCTCTGTATGCATAACAAATTTCATAAAAATCCATTAAGCCGTTTAGACTACATACTCTAACAATCCATCCATCTAAACTTTTTTTATATTAGTGTAATTTTTTGATTATGGAATTCATTATCTATTAAGGGAAATTATACATTTAATTAACTACTAATTTATCGAAAATGTTAGCTTCATAAATTATTGTGCATGTTGGAATATATTCTTCATTAAAACTGCTAATTATTATTCGCCAAGTAATACAGGTTCACACGATACAGTCATAGCCAATAAACCTAATATTTAATTGAAATTCAAACTAATCATTGACTGATATATTCAGCCACAGACCGGATCGACATCGATTGCAACTTATTAAAATCGTTATGTGAAAAGAAAAAGAAGGTGACTAACTGCTGTTATTTGAATAAGGTAGTGTTTTACCATAGAGTCCTGCAATGATAGATGCGTTTTAATCCACAGAAGAGATGCATAAAACCAGATGTTTCCTACTTCTATTTCCATCTACTATCTCCACCTCTCCTTTCCATCCCGTCCGAGTAGAAGACGAGTAAAATAAAGCCTACGGCAAACCCATATCACACTGTTAACGGATTTGAGAATGGATTGCTTCCAATTCATTTTTTTTATGACATAAGGTGGCAAAAGAGCAAGCGGCCACCTAATTCCACCGAAATGGAAAGTGACTCTGGCCATAAATATTCGCAATTGCAGATGCGTTGCCTACTCTTAATTGACGGAGGAGGAGACGCACGTAAAGATGACATTTCCCCTTCCTGCAAGTCATCTGTGTGGTCTGTTCGTTTAGAAAATATTATTTTAGCCTCTACCATGTTTGTGAATGGTATTGGGTATTTCAATTTCTCCATTTATTACTTTTTTATACTTAAACAATACCTCTGATAATTTCAGAAAATATAAGATAGAGAAATTTCTATACACACCTGCATCAGACTCGTGGTTTTTAGTGTAGTATCCCTTGTATAATGATTTAAATAAAGTTATTTACTAGATGTTGTAGAACGAATACGCTTTTGTTATACACCGTATTATTTCAATGAATAAAAGCTTTTATATTTGAAAACAGTACTGAATGGGTTCTGAACAATTTATTAAATTCAATATCGATGTCGGAGTGGAGTGCTTGTTTTGTTCTACATTTTTTATTTTAAATTAAATGTACCAATGCATTGTTTTAATACTATTTTAATAATATAAAAAATCTGTATTGAAGTTTTGTGTACATTTTTCAATGAATGTAATTAAAATAGATGGTAGCTGTATTTTGTTAGAAGACGAGCTTGTTTGCTATAATAAATAGAAATCAACTATCAAATTTTTTATAAGACGAGGGGGCAAACGAGCGGCGGGAACAAAAGTGGTCAACGACGCCCATGGACATCCGCAACACCAGAGGAATTACAGATGCGTTGCCGGCCTTATGAAAATTGTAGACTCGCTTCTAGAAGGACCCTAAGTCGTATTGGTTTGGAAATACCGACGAGGACAGACCGTGCCAGATCGCGGCTGTGCGGGGCTGAAAATTTTGTCTAGGTCACTTCCAAACAAGTAGTTAATTCTTGTATTTCTTAAAGGGCGGGAACACAGAATAAAACGACAATCTTCAGATGCAGACTAATTTATTTAAACAATATTTGTAAGTACTCTAAACATAGATACACAAATATCGACAGCATTTTAAAAAATCGCTTAATTTTCGTTACTAGTTAAAAGTTATCACAAAGTCGGTTGTAGATAACGCAACAGGAACGCTGAGTGTAATTGTTGGTTAGTATTGTTTCTCTATTTAACACGCTTACAAAGTAGAGCGTAACGTACTCTAATGTAGCACCTCTTATATAAAATTGCACTCAACTAATAGTTTAATGTTATCTCGTATTACGTATCCAATAAGAAATAGCGATTAGCATAAAATACTTTGAAATAACAAACGGGTAAGATAAAGATAGCTTTATTTATAAATTACAACTAAGAAATTATAAGGCTAATCAACTTTTACAAATTTTACAGAGATATTTGAAATGAAATGAAATGAAATGAAATGAAATGAAATGAAATGACATGTAATGAAATGAAATAACATTTAATCCTATAAACACTACATACAACACAATGACAAAGAACAACAACAAAGTAATCAAATAAAAAAAAATATTAAAACGTTATTAAATGATTTGCAACTAGATCTAAATATATGTTTGTATTTTTAGTTAATTTACTTTAATATTTGTATAAAATTAGAATGGTTAGTATCACTCTTGATCCTCTATATAAGGACTGCCTATAGCGGAGAAAGACTCCCACAGATTCTTCCATGTGGTCCGATGTCTTATTCCGGGATTATGACCTTAATTTTTTTATTATGTCTCAATGAATCAATGTAACATTTTTGTGCCTATTTCTTGATAATAATGACATATTACAGTAAACTTTATCTTAATAGGTACTCACAGTTATGTTGAAGGTATAAATATATTAATATGTAACCCAATTCCCCACCTGTTCTTTTATACTTACATCTGAAGTAGGTCAAATACAACAGGTGCGGTAAATGAGTAGCGTTATTTGACATACGATATTGACCCCGTTCATAACATAAAAATACAAGACTTATTACGCGATAGAAACCTTAGGGTTTACTCAAAGGATTTGCCGTAAATCGCGCCTTTCGTAAAGACACGTTGTGTAATTACTTTCCATTAGATTATGAAGACATATCATAAAAAGCACGTTTTTAACTTTACTAATGTTATAAAGATGGATTTGTTTTTTGTATGTATAGAAATAACTCAAAAACTACTGGGCCGATTTAAAAGATTCTTTCACAGATAGAAAGGTAATTTATTTGTGAGTAACAAAGTCACGCGGACGAATTCGCAAGCAACAGCTTGTGTTAGTTTATTAATTGTGTGACGTTACGGTAATTGTGGTACCGGAAAAGGTTGTTTGTTATAGTTTACCGCCTAAACGGCTGAAGGGATCTCGATGAAATTTGGCATAGTTGTATTGTATAATCTGGAAGGACACATAGCCTAACTTATTTTTTTTTTAAATTCCATGCGGATGGAGTCGCTGATGAAAGATACTTATCAAATAAGTTAGCATCCCTGATATTGCGATGTGGTTGATGTTTTTTATAAAGGGCAAATAAGCAGCGAGAACACCGAGATGTTCATCGACGCCCTTAGACATTCGCCATACCAGAGGAATTGCAGACGCGTTGCCACCCTTTTAGAAGGCGATATGCTCGCTTCTTGAAGGATCCTAAGTCATAGCGATTTGGAAATAAGTATAAATAAGTAAATATGAGTATTGTAGATAGGAAGCTTCAGTCCAGAAATCCAGAAATAACTGTCATTTCGTTGATAATATTTTAATAGTGCACAATGAGTAAGTTTTTTATTACTAAAAATAAACGTTGATGTGTGAACGTTCCGCTCCAATTACCACTGTAATTAGACACATTAAATAACTCCGCTAACGTTCATTATAACACGTTGCATCAATGAAATTACGTTTACAAAAATAAACATAACTACAGTTTATATGTTTTATAAGGAAACTATTAATGTGAACACTTTCAAGGATGATCGTCAAATGTATTTTTTTACAGAATTTTGTATTCATCAGAATTAATTTAAGAGCTAAATTATAAAAAAATTACTCGCGACTTCGTCCGCATGAGATTAAAAAATATAGCCTATGTCATAGATAAACTACCTTTCTAAAGGTGAGGGAATTTTAAAAATAGACCCATTAGTTTTTACGTGAATCGAATACATATAAAAATGCAAATATTTCCTTTTTATAATAGTTTAAACTAGCAACCTTTCGCAGGTTCGCCTGGATGACAAAGTAGATATGACCCATATATTTTCTGTCATATATATACCCTTCCAGTTAATGTAGCCTATGTTATGTGTTACTCAATAACAGTATAGCTTCTAATGTAAGATTTTTTTTTATATCAGAATCAATCTTTCCATTTACAATATTAGTATACATGAAGCACTACCATTTACTAAACATTTTTTTTAATCTATACATTGTTTTTATTATGAAATCGCTCATACTTGTAAATTCCCAGCAGCAGTTTGAATATAAGGAAATATTAAAAATTTCATACGTAGTTAAAAGTAATCTATTGATCCGTGTTAATGAATTGTTTATTTCCCTCATTTGAATTTCCACGCGTTATCGAGACGCGTTTTCATTAATATACTTTAATGAACACATTGAGAATACACGATTCTGAATAGATCGTTAGTGAAGAAAGTTTTTTTTTTAATTAATTCAAAATCAGCCAAGTTCATTAAGATCGTTAACATTTATAAATCTATCACAATTCAAACCACTTTCGTATGAATATATTAAAATAATTTAATCCGTGATTTATTAGTTCGGTTTTTGTTTCAACATATTTATGTGTAATACTAGCTTTCGCCCTCGACTCCGTCCGCGTAGAATTAAAAGAACAAAAGTGAGTAGCCTATGTGTTCTTCCAGACTATCCTCTATGTCTATGCTAAATTTCATTAAGATCCGTTCAGCCGTTTAGGCTACAAACTCAAATAAACATCCATCTAAACTTTCGCATTTATAACATTAGCAAGATTTCACATTGTGATAGGTTATCTTTGAATTCTTCGCAAAAATATTCTACGCGTTATAAACACAAACGGCGCTTTGATCTATCCATATGCAGAGTAATCTTTATGATATCTATTTTTAATGGCATTAATTTAACTATTTTTGGATATTCGATTGTTAGCGTCTAAAATGT